TCTCTTTATACTTAGGCATGATTTGTTAAGGGTCTACACCAATGGCACCGATTTAATCTGATTATTTGTGTAGATAGTTTTATTTCGATGGTTTGTGTTGATGAGTGTTTCGATTTACACTTTGCTGTGATTTTAGGTGATGCAAGATGCTTGTAAAACATTGTTTGTGTCTGGTTTGTGTCATTTATAAGTACTATGCGAATGAGGTAAAAAATTCTTTTAGATTTATGTGTTATAATTATCTGTTTTTGATATTAGATTAGTTCAGTTCTCTTTTCATATGATCTATGGGATCGAATGATTTTGTTAACACTTGGTTTGACTATTTGTTTATGTTATACAAACTATGCGAATGAGATTAAGAATTGTTTGAGGTTTGTGTGTTTAAATTCTGTGTATTTCATACAGCTTAGATTAGTGTCTGTGTTTGTTTGTGTTGTTGATAATTGTTTCAGTCTTTTCTAACACATTGTTCTGTGTTTTTCTGCAAGGTTAATATGGAGATACAAACACATTGTACAAAGAAGAGCGACAATAAAACACATAATACAATCCTATGGGTGTGATATCTCGTGAAAATAGTCATAATGTGAGAGGCTTGAGTTCCAAGTCTTTACTATGAGCGAGAGAAAGAGAAGAAAAAGAAGTTGTTATATATACATATATATATATATATGTGAAATTTTAAATTTTCAATAACTATATCTTTTAATTTGTATATTATGTATTTTCAAAAATTCCAAATTTTAATTTAATTTTTAAATATTTTCTTTTTTCCTAAGAACCCCAAATTAACATACTACCAATAATCACTTCTCAAAACCAAAAACCAAAATACAACTCTTACCTTTAACTTTTTCAAATATACTAATAAACTAATCCTAAGAGAAAATTTTAACATCTTATGGATAATGTTGCTCTTAGCTGTTTGAAGAGACCGTGACTTTAACGATACAACTACAACCTTGTAAAATTAAATTACATAATTAACCAACGAACTATAATTTTGAAATACATTTTTGAGACATTTTTTTTTTTTTTTTGTGAAAAAGAGAGCAAGAGAAATTGATTGGTTTTTGTTTCAAAAAATGTTAAAACTGAAAAATGAGTGACAAGATGCTTTTATAATGCAATATTGGACAAAATACATGTATTGATTGGTAACAGCTTAATGAAGCGTTACAAAATATACAATTTTAAAACTTACCAATCACAAATTATTGAAAACCTTGTCAAATCTTTATTCTAAACTTTTATTTGAAAGTTTTTACGTACATTTTTTTCTTACAATTTTGTATTATTTCGTAATAGTTTATTGGATCATTTACAGTTTTTTGTACAATTTTATATATGTTACCAATTGGACATACTATCGGCAAGATATGGGAGTTTGAGAGCAAGTGATATAAGACGGAAGATCTGATCTCCAAAACCATCTAATTTATCTTCAGTTTTTATATGTTATAAAACATGATTCGATGTTACTATGCAACTTAATTTTGAGACATTTAATCTGTGGCATAAGATGAACAAAAATATAACTTATGTTACAATGAAAGAAAATTTAAAAAATTTCTTGGGTCAAATTCACCAAGATCCAAGAACTGGTTCAGAAGTGGCAGCGAGCTTGGGTGGTTTTGCATATTAGTTACCATAGTGTGTTTTTCAAAAGGTAGAGAACCTTTTAGAGGAAAAAAAATTAAATTTTCTAAGATAGGAAAAATGTATTTTAGATTAAGTTATAAAAAGCTAAACTAATCACACTAAATTTTAACTTCTAATTCAATACGATTTTGATTTTAACATATAAATATATTTTTATGCTACTACTGACGACAAAAAATCCAAAAATCCCAAAATTCGATCATTCAAGTGATAAACTTCATCAAGAAAATCACCATAATATTGAATGAAACCATATATCAAAATTGTAGTTCCAACATTTAGTTCAAAATAAGTCTTAGTTCAATTGTGTGTATTGCATATTTGTTTGTCATTTTTTTTTTACTTGGATCCTTTTTTTTTTTGGGTTAAATTTAGTAAGCAACCCAAATCATACGAATTGCACCAAAGTTTACTATCCAATAATATGCCGGAAATTATATAGTATACAACAATATACGTTTTCTTATTGTCTCCTAACTTTTGAGTATTATTTTCTAAGAAGGCATTATTAGAAATTTAGGAATCTAAAAGTATAGTAAGAGAAATTATAATCGAGTTAGATTTCCCCCAACGTGTGGCCGCGAGGAACAGCATATGGGATGGGACATGTCGCACATGAACAATTCATATAAGTTACATGAATCTAGACTGACATTTTAAATTTAAAATATAATTTTACAACTAAACAAATTATAATAATCCTATATGTCATCAACGAATCATAATCATTATCCAACAATACAATCTTTTTTTTTTTGTTTTTCTACAATGGTTTTAGTGATCTTTTTTGCTCTATTTTGGAGAAATCAACCATGATTAAAAAGCATTGTTTGTTCACAATACTATTACCATAAATTAGATATATAAATATCCAAAACAAACAAAAATTATGAGGAAGAGAGAAAGGTTAATATATATGAGCGTTCAAATTTTAGTTGTTATTGATAACTACTGTTTTTCTATAATTATATTAGGTCTGATTGATAACATATTTACAAAAAAGTTGTAAGCTGAAACTAGTCGCTTTGATTGGTAAACATATAAAAGTTTTACAACTATTATGGTTTTTAGATTTTACTAATCACAAAATCTTTATTAAAAAATTTTACTCTCTCTTTCTTTGTACAACTTTTATGTACCATTTTTCCTTACAACTCTGCACTGTTCCGTAAAAGCTTAGACCATCTCCAAAGGGAGAGTATAAACAAAAAAACTTTAGAGATTATGAGATTATGAGATTAATGTAATTAAAAATAAATCAGAAAGTGTATAAATGTTTGAGAGCGTCCCTTAACGAAGGGGTTTTGGTACCACTCCTTAAGGCCACGTGTTATGATAAAACAGCATGTGTGGTGAATGTCAATCAATGAATAGGATCGTGTAGCTTTTTATTTATGTGTGGATTCTCAAGTATATAGGTTTGTTTTGCTGTAACTACAAAGATTTTTTTTTGGGGAGAATTCAACTAAACACTTTTGAGTGTGTGTTTTATTTTAATTTTTATATTTTATATGTTTTGTATTTATGTAATGTAATATAATTTTGGCTTTATTTTTTAAAATAGAAATTATATTAAAAATATTTTTTTTTTTTTTAGAACTCTTATAGAGTTCACCATTGGAGGAAGAAAAATTAATCATTTCATAAATTCTTATTAATCATTAAATTTATTAAAAATTTGTTTAACACCTCAAAATTACTACCCAGCTTACAGTTATTTTATACAGTTTTGAGAATAAAACTGTAAAGAAAAACGGTATATAAAAGCATAGATTATTTTTTCATAAAGTTTTTAGTAACGTTTTTGTGAATGAGAAAATTAAAACTGTATGATTTGTATCGCTTTCTTTAGTGTCACAAATCAAAGCTATTAATTTTAAAATATGAATAACTTAAGGAAAATCAGGGTACATGTTGTTAAAGAGAAAATCAAGGTCTTGAAACACAACAAACAAAAAACAAAAAGAAACAATTTTTTTTTCACGATAATTAATGGTTATAACGTAAAAAGTTTCTTTTGACAAAAGACATAACGTAACATATTTTTAAAAACAGAGTTTGTTTTTATTTGACGATAATTAATATTTATACTGTAATAAGTTTTTTTTGACAAAAATAACGTAAACCTTATAAAAAATAAAATAATAAGAACAAACGGGATACTCGTGGTTGCAGAATCTGGTCTTAAAACAGACAAAGAACGAAAACAAACAAAATAGAGTTCTTATTTTCTTTGACGATAATTAATAGTTATAACCTACGTTACATGGAAACTCTTTTCGAAGTGCGTTTCCCGTTTCCGAAACGTTTCAGAAACAGAAACTCTCGGAAACTCGGAAACTACCCATGGAAACACGATTCCTAAAATTTTTCATTTGGAAACTCGATGGAAACTCTCGTTTCCGTTTTTAGATTAAAAAATATAAAATATAAGATATATATTGTGATTAAAAAAGAAAGATTGTATCTATCTCTAATAAAAAGATGTATAATTTCTATAAATATAAATTATGGTCCTAATCATATGTGGGATGTTGGAGGTGATCAACTTGATTCACTAAATGAGTTTAATCTTGAGAGACTTGAGTCTGAAGATCTTTCTCTAGACGAACCTGATTTAGAGGCTGTTTTATTTGATAAAAATGATAACGGCGATGTTGGTCCAAACATTTGAATTTGAGCGTTTTAGTATTATCTTTTAGAGTTTTGTTTAACTATTTAGTATTTATGTTTTCAAAAATTCTTTTTTTTTTTAGTATGGATTTTATATTTGGAATTTTAGTATATATATATATATATATATATATAAAATTATATATACATACGTTTCCAAAACGTTTCCATTCCTTAATTTTCAAAAATTGTCGTTTCCCGTTTCCGAAACGTTTCGTTTCCGCGTATGCGTTTCCGTTTACATGCAACCTAGGTTATAACGTAAAAAGTTTCATTGACAAAAAAAAGTAACGTAAAACGTTATAAACTTAAAATAATAATAAAAATTTCTTTTTTCTTATTTTTAAAAATACAATTAATAGGATAAATTTAAAAATAAAACATAAACAGTATTGTCTCTAAATATAAATGATCACATCAAAATACATACATAACTCGAACTTTTGGTTATGACTTATGTGAATGTAAAACGTACCATCCCTAATTATAGTTTCGTAAACCAAAATTTCAAATGCTTGCTTCATAAACACTAATCTCATCATAAAGACATCAACTATACTAAATTGTGTATAGCTAGGACTCTAGGAGACATTCGAGTTATCTAACATAAAAAAAAAAAAAAAAAAAAAGAATTTTTTTTTTTGAGAGTATTGCGACCAATGTGCGGACACTGTATGATAGAGAAACAACGTGGCACTGTCTGCTACAACAAGTCCACATCTCGCTTTCTCTCTCTCCATCTCCATCTCTTGTTCCATATAGTGGACTTGTGTTATTATTATTGGCACAGACCAAACCCACTTGCTTTCCCAATCTCTCTTACCTTTAGATTCTTTTTTTCTTTCTCTCTTGGAAATTGATGGGCAATAGGAAACACAACTCTCTCTCTCTCTAGAAAGACCAATTCATCTCTCTCTTCTATTCTCTTCTCTCCTCTTCTCTCTCTACTACATTAGTAAAGACCTAAACTTTATCTTCTTTTCTTGCTGGGTTTTAGTCTCTTCTTAAAATGGGGTTAGTCTAGTTTTTTCACCTTTTAATTAAAATTGCTTGTAGACTTGAGATTAGTCGAGTAGGTTTTGGTGGGCTATCACTAAGACTAGCTTAGACAAAGTCAAAGTCAAAAAAGGTTTGAACTTTGGATGATATATTTATCAATCTTTCATTCTCTTCTAATATAGGTTTATGACTAGCTTATGAGAAGCTAAAGCTATGTTGATTTCTTTAATCAAATTATGGCTTTAGGGTTTTGAAGAGAGAGAGAGAGAGATTAGAGAAGAAACTTTTTAATCTTTGTTTAAGAGAAAAGTTTTAAAATAAAAAGAGATTAGGGTTTTGGTTTCTTTGCAGAAGCTTCAAGAATCAAGATCAGAGAGATATGGAGATTAGAGAGAAGAAAGATGAGAAAATGGAGATGGTTAGAAGAAACCCATCAGCTCTAGATCATCATCGTCTTCCTCAGTACACTTACTCCCAAACCGCCGACAAAGAGAAACCCACCACCAAAAGAAACGGGTCGGACCCGGATCCGGATCCGGATCTTGGAACCAACCCAATTCTTATAGCTCCTGCTCCAAGGTCATACGCTAGGCCTCAACAAACTACTTCTCCTGGGAAGGCGAGGTATAGAGAATGCCAAAAGAACCACGCGGCGAGCTCCGGTGGACACGTGGTTGACGGTTGCGGCGAGTTTATGTCTTCCGGGGAAGAGGGCACGGCGGAGTCTCTTCTTTGTGCAGCTTGTGATTGTCACCGGAGCTTTCATAGAAAAGAGATCGATGGTTTGTTTGTTGTCAATTTCAACAGCTTTGGCCATTCTCAAAGGCCGCTTGTTAACCGCCACGTGTCTCCGATAATGATGAGCTTCGGTGGTGGTGGTGGTAATGGTGGTCCGGCGGAGTCATCAACGGAGGATCTAAACAGGTTTCATCAATCTTTTAGTGGTAATGGAGTGGATCAGTTTCATCAGTTCCAGCCCAAGAAACGGTTTAGGACAAAGTTTAATGAAGAACAGAAGGAGAAGATGATGGAGTTTGCTGAGAAGATTGGTTGGAGAATGATAAAGCAAGAAGAGGATGAAGTGAATCGGTTTTGTCGTGAGATTAATGTGAAAAGACAAGTGTTTAAAGTTTGGATGCACAACAATAAACAAGCAGCAAAGAAGAAGGATTTGTAAGAGATTCTTATATTATATATATACTATTTTCCCTTCTCCTTGTTCATCTTTTAAGATTTTATTGTTACATTTTGGAAAGGAGATTTGGATTTAGGTTCAGAATTGTTGTATAACAAAATTGATTTTAGAGTTCAGCGTAACAGTCTCGTATCTCTCCGGCTACATCTATGGCTTTCTGTGACTTGTCTCTTCTTTAAAGTCAACTGAATCATCCATTGCTTTTTTCTTTGCCGTACTTCATTGCATGTTCTGCTTTACCTGCAACCATGTCTTTAGCACTCTTTGGCTCCTTCACGGCTCTTTGTCCGTCGCCATCCTAACCACCTAACCAGTTTTGTCGTATCCGTAACCCATCTTTTCGTTTGCAAAGTCTTTTGCTTCTTGTGCCTTTTTCGTAAGCTATGTCTTTTTGCATTGCCAGCCTTATTGTAGGCGAAGTCTTTAGCATCACCAGCTTTCTTGTTTAACCAGAATCCCTTGCCTTCTGCTCATTGCCATAAACAGATCCCACATTATCATAAGCTCTTGGCCCGCTTTCTCGTAGGCCACTATAATTGGCATCTCCCGGTTTTGCATAGGCCATGTCTTTAGCATCACTGGCCTTAATCATAACTAGAGAGTCTAGAGTCCATCATACTAATGCGCACTTCCGTAAGCAGATTCTATCATCATATGTCAAATCCTTCATGCGTACCGGCCTTCTCATAAGCCGCCTCCTTAGCATTGCCTTCTCCTAGGCGATATATCCTTTGCATTGCGTTCATTATCGTAAAGCGAGATCCTTTTCATATCCTGCTTTTCTTTAGGCCATGTCCTTCACATTGCCTGCCTTATGATAGGTGAAATCCTTGGCGTATCTTGCTTATCTCTAGGCCATGTCCTTTGCATCACCAGCCTTGCGAACTTAGTTTCCCGTGGCTCTGGCTGCTTTACCTGAGTCCTATTTCTTCTTTCTTGCTACCAAATCCACTACAAAAAGAGTTACCTCTCAATATCTCACCTAATAAGGGCCAAGTACATGCATATATATCCAATGTAGTCAACGAATCTGAAGATTCTAGAAAAAAAAAAAAAAAAGAGAAAACAAAAGCCAACAAAACACTAACTTATGATTAAAATGAGAGAAATTGTGGACCGAAGTAGAATCAACGTGATGGTACGTAAACGGCTGATTCAAGCAGAAGTGGGTGTAAGCAATTTACTCACGTCGTGATTTTGTCGGAGACCCAAGCAGCCCATGAACCGGTCTTCTCCTTCGCCGTCGTCTCGGTCCATTACCCCCAAAACACCCTCTGTCACGTCAGCACCACCACAACATCCAGCAGTACCAATGTCGTTCTTCTTCTCTCCATCATCTCTTTTAACCAGTGATATGTACGGATCAAACTACTGTGACTACCAATTCGTTTTATCCCCTTGTTGAGATGTTTTGATTTCTAGTTCCAATGTCCTCGGAAGTTAATGCTTACTGTATAAAGCGACGTTCGAGTCCAAGACCATGAGTCTTTCCGAGAAGCGGTTACTGTTCGCCACGTGTTTTCACAAGGTTACGTGGCGACCAAGGATGCGGTTTTGTTCTGGGTACTTGCCACGTGTCCATCAAACGGCTCCTCGCAGACTTCGTTTGATTGAGAAAGAGAGAGGTCAGGTAAAGCGATTTGCAAAACCGGGCAGGAAAGCCTTAAGATTAAAATTGGACTCCAATTCCTCTGCTAACCGAAATTGAACCGGTCACTCAAACAATGTTCACTATTTCATTTTTTATAAATCCAAATACTAAGGAAACCCGTACATAAAAGATCTACGGAAACGATTGGCCGCCTTCAGTCGCAAGTCTGATTCTCTGGTGATGTTCTTCAATTTTATAATCCACAATCTCTTCGAAAAACTTGGAATCCAAGACGCAATCCGGTCGTCCATACACCGCAGCTTGGACACCAGCGACAAGCTTAGCAATTTCACGACCAGAGAAACCTTCTGTCCTTTTTGCAGCTTCTCTGATCACTTGGTCGGTTAGGTCTTCTTCAACGGTTATCTTTTGCGACTTCTTCTTGAAATAGCTGCTCCATTTAAGGTTGGAATCTTTGTCTTCACCAGCTAGGTACTTGTTGAGATAGAGTTTAAGGAGCTTGAAGCGTTCTTCTTCACCAGGGAGAGGAAACTCGATAACTTCGTCGATCCTGTCAGTGACTGCACTATCAAGATCACCCGGTCTGTTTGTAGCCAGGACAAGAACTATGTCACGTGACTGATCACCGGTTCGAAAGAGTAATGCGTTCAGAGCGCTGCGCTGGGCCTCGCTCATGTACGTGCTGTTACGTCTGCAATTAAAGATGAACTATTAATAAATAAATAGCTCTGGAGATGGTGTACGAAGTAACCAAATGAGTTTCGGTAAAGGAGTAATCAGTGGACAGTCCAGTCCTAGTATGAGAAAATATTGGTTCAACTATATTACATTTACATGTATTGTAGAGTTCTAGTAGATGGAAAGCACTAAAATATCAAAAGGCTATAGAAAAGAGGTGAAAGCATCTTACTCGCATAGGAAAGCATCGGCCTCATCAATGAAAAGCAGTAAGCCTTTGTTTGATTTCTTAGCCCAATCAAATATCTGATGGATTTTTGTTACAGCCTGTGCACCAAGAGGAGCAACATCTCCTCCTGTCATCATAGCATAATCAAGACCCTGCAGCACAATATAATCAAACAGGTGTAACAGTGAGGCATGCATTGGGTCCATCTATAGTTGATTCATAAATGTGGCTTAAGTTTGCAGTTGCATAAAGAAAGTGAACTCACCGACTTCCGAGCAATCTCCCTCGCCACCATAGTTTTACCAGTACCTGGAGGCCCATAAAACATCATGTTGCGGAATGGTGCTTGATGGGTCTTGGTATTTGCTGTGGCTCTAGCAAGACGTTCAATTCTCTGCTTCAAGGAATGATGGAGAATTACATTTTCAAGGGGCTTTTCTCCTTCTGCAGATGCTGCTGCCCCTGCAGCTGTACTAATTTTGTTCTTAAACTGAGATACTGAGCTTGCCCATGGAAATCTACCCATGGAAGATTCTCTGATAAGTGATGGCTGCCCAAGAATCCTGTTAATATAACCCCAGGTAACCCTAGCACCCTCCCTGTTATTAAAAGAGAACAGTTAAGCTTTTTAATTCACAGCTACATAGGTTTTTAAAATTAGATATAGATATTGCTAAATTAGGAGATGCATACCGAGTTGTGTAAACCCCAGCAGCTAATGCTGTAACTCCTCCAACAGTCATAATCAGTTTATTTCGATCAGTTAGTAAGGTTCTGACTCCCCCTGCCAAGTTCAATATAGAAGCCAATGAATATGAAGCCACATTTTTCAATAGCAATATATTAACAGCATGTTACTTAATTTCGGAACAATCTAAAGAGAACCAGATATAAATGGAAATATAAAACTGAGAGAATCAAAGCAGAACATGATGGAACAATGCTTATAAGGTCCATACCTTCAATGTGACTGAAGGTTGTGTTGATTGCTGCAAGCCATTTTTCCCGTTCACCATTTATCTTATCCAGAAGCATTCTCCTATTCTGCTCCTCAGTAAGTTTAGCTTCATGAGCTCGGCCTTCAGCCTCAGCCATGGCTTTGACACGAATTGTTTCTCGCTCAAGTTCAGCTCTCTCTTTCTCAGTCTCGCGCTGCTGTGCTTGAATCTGTTCTTCCGTGGCAATTCTTGCTCTTTCTTTCCGAATAGAAGACTCTTCTTGCATCTTAACCAATTCAACGTTATGCCTTCTCTGAGCTTCATGATCTGTCTACAAAATTTCCATTCCAAGTCAAAGACTTCTCAGTAAAAGACAGTCATAACAGGGATCGTTATACTGTTAAACATAGGTTCATAGTTTCTTTCTAAAAAAGTACCTGCTGTCGCTTCCTTGCCAAATCATCCTCATATCGAAGCATTTGAGCTTTCGCTTGTGCTTGTTGCTGCACAAGATTTCTCTGCTCCTCAGCCAGTTTCCGCTGCCTTTCCTGCTCATTCAAAGCCCCCAAAACAATCATATTTATCACTTCCCAGCTTAATATTTTTACAATGGAATAGCAAAGACACCAACAAGACAGTTGAATTCAACATCTTAGAATGTAACTTGAAAGATAATGCAATGAAATCAGAGAAACATCAAATTGAAACTTCCAGGCTCAAATTTTCATTAAAGAAAACGCAAGTTACTTACAATGTCCTTGTGAGCTTGAATGGCTTCATTATGTTCTTTCTCAGCCGCTAATTCAGCTAATCGAGTCTTCTCCTGCTTTCTCATTAGATCAAACACCTGGTGAACACAAGAACATGTAAGCAACGCCTCAACATGAACACAAGACCTTGTTGATTACTCCAAAAAGATTCAATCATCACCTGTTTGGAGTGAGGAGAGTTGTTGATTTCACGAAGAGCTTTAGCACCTCTTTCCAAGGACTCAGGATCGAAACCAGATCCTTTAGGCTCATCGGATTCCGATTTGGTCTCCGATTTAGAATTCGACGAAGACTTGTGATCGGTTGGAGATTTTTCTGCCGGTGGTGAAGAAGAGAAGAAAGGAATGCGAAATTGCGAGTCAGCGTAGGCGCGGTTCTGTGACATCGACATTGAAGTGAACGTAGCAGCTATCGCCGCCGCGGAACATAGTCTAGAAGCAGCCATTGGAGTACGAGTAGAAACAGCTTCCTAAACCCAATTAACAAACAAATTTTTTTCTAGAATTCAAACATTTCGGACTGAGAAAAGGTGCTCTCGAGGTTTATGGAAATGGTTGTGGACAGTCGTCGGAAAAGTTTCTCCGGCAAGCAAGACCATAAACCCCACGGTGGCTAGGTTATATGATGAGTCTTAAAGATTTGTTTGTGAGCTGTCGGTTGAATCAAGCGATGGGCTAAACTTTAAATCCGAGCCCATCTTTGAGCCCTTGTTGTAAGGCCCAGTTTTCACATTAGCTCTACCGTAGAAGGTTTACAATTTTTATTAAGTATGGTTTGTACTCTGAATTTACAAAAACAAAAAACTTATAAAAAGGTTTGAAAATTGTGTAATTTCAAAAGTAGACTTAGAAGAGCTTCGTTAAACTTCATTTCTTATGTTCTATCGTTGTTGATTTTTTTGGGGGTCAAATTGTTCTATCATTGTTTATGACTTTATGTAATTTTGTATATATAAATCTTCATAACTTATATGTGTAAACAGGTTATTATAGAAATTAATCAAATATATGTTAGAAAATAATATATAAAAAATCATACCTATGAATTGCATTTAAAAGAACCGTTAATACTGTTTTTCATTTGAGCATTTCGATTTTTGTCATTAAATTTCTATACATACAAAATAGATGCTATTTTACAATTCTATTTATGTGATTTGAATTGTAATTTTTCTTCAAAAATAAACTATTTTCTAGTGAAAAATTCACATGAATTTATCATATAAATAAAAATTAAAAAAATGTCGTCTAATAATTTTTATATGCGGTGTTACTATATTGGTAAAGTTTATTGAATTCATCTCCCAAAGTTTGTTTATTCGCTTCAGAAGATGGAAACTTGAAATATGTTCCATGTAAAATGTTCCCGCTCAAAATTATATTTTCTTGGGGTGAATGTAGTTCTTGTGAACCTAAAAGATTTAATTGCTAGAAACGAATATGATCTTCTCCGCTTCCGTTTACCATATCAATTATTTTTGTGATTTGTTTCAAGTTTCAACATGAAGACTATGCTATGCAACTCGCCTCGAAGGTCTTCGATCAATTCGGAATTTTAGCTGAAAGCTGAGGTGAGTGTACAAGAGACATATGTGCGTGTTGGCTGATTAGAGTATGCTTAATCCATAAAATTAAGAGTTTGGTCCGAGACTGTTACTATATGAACTTAAATTGACTAAAATATACTATTAATTAGGATGGAATTGAGAGAGATTATTACATGGTTGAAAACCAAACAGAAATGAAACAAAGCCAATAAAAGCAATACATCGAATTCTTAGTTCTTAATTTATAGATTCTCTCCTCAAATGTTCCTCTTCTTGATTATTCAAGACATGTTTATTAATGCATGTCTTCAATTAGTGTTACGGTACCTAGGTTGAGGATAGCGTCCTGACTCAATGTCATTCACATCCCGGAGTAGCAATTCGTAGTGTCGCTTTACCTCCTCAGCTGATTTCCCACCAACTGCTCTTGCAACGTTTTGCCACCGGTCAGGAGTGTCCTTGTCATATGTAGCCAACGCCATTTCGAACTGCTTGTCCTGTTTAGCTGTCCATGACGAGTTCGAGCTTCGAGAAGTGCTCATTGAATTGGAAGCCATTAGCGAAAATGTGGATCGAAAATTGAGAAATGAAGGTGAGTGTTTTGTGTATTGATGATTTGAATTGGTTTAGTTTTGAGGGAGTGTGGAACTCCTTATATGTAGGAAGGGAAAAGGCAATGTGTGGGGTTATAAGCCAGTTGGAAGAATATATACTTTGAAATGAGAGATTTTTAGAATGACCATTCTTTTAGCAACCACATAAAAATTGTTAGTGAAAGGACAAAAGTTTTGATATGATGATCATGATTAGAGTCTAGTCCCTTAAAAAGGACATAGTAAAGGTTTAATAGTTAAGTGGAATGAGATTCTCTTGACCATTGCTAATTAGGAGGCATTTCTTGTTTCTTGCTAGTGTCCTAAAAGTTCTTACCAATAACTTATTGGACCCTCCCTTACCCCTTTCAGCATTTTGGATCTTATCATCATTAGTGTCGACTTAAACTCCCCTATCTCGTATCCGATACTATTCATAAAGCATGTGATTGTTATTAAACATTCTGTTTTATGATATTTTTGTTTTGAACATTTTCTCTTGTGTGATTAATTAGCAGCTAAATTTTTATATGTCTTTTCTACGATGGACTAGTGACAAGAAGCGAATCTTGCCATTCTTGGTCCCAAGATCACTGAGCAACTTCAGGTAATATTCTTTCTTTTGAAAAATATATGAAAATGTTAATATCATCAATAAATGTAAGTACGTAAAATGGGTTTACAAAAGAGCTTAACCACATATTGAAATGAGACCTTCACCAAAGAAGATGGTTTATATTGAGACCTTCACCAAATAACATCTACTATACGTACTCTTGCATTTACTGGTTTATATTGAGCATCTATAGAAAAAAGGATGTTTTTGGTGAATATAAAACCCTATTTATGTCCGATGCTTTATAGCTAGTAGTTTTATAGGTGAATTTTTAAGCTTGTCTTTAACATTTCATGTAATTTTTCATATTGAGTGATTGAGAAAAAAATATATTTACTTAAGTTCGTATTTGCACACTGATGGGTGCATGTCTTTACGATCTGATTAGCTCTAGGGTGAGATCTTTATTCATCACATCACGGGACAGTGACAAAAAGAGAATCATGCCAATATTGGTCACAAGATCGTTGAGCAACTTCAGGTAATATCATACATTTACTGGTTTATATTGAGCATCTCTAGAAAGAAGAAAGGACGATGATTTTGTGAGTATATATTAAACCCTATTTATGTCTGGTGCCCATTAGCTAGCTATAGAGTAGGTGTACGTCAGAACATGATTCCAATTATTAGGACAATAAGACAAAACTCATCAGACGACACACAGAGTACTAAAGAAGATATATATGTACTTTGGCATAATCAGAGATTTTTTAACCCTCTAAAACATGTTCATTCGTGGGTGCCACGGAATAACATTCTTTGATGACAATGATATGTCCATTTATTACAAAAGAAAAATCAAGATGATTTACTCACTAACCTCAATAACCAAATCATTGTATTGTTTCTATCTTTCTCAGCCTCTTCTAAACTAGTTCGTCTTGTACATGTAAATCTCGTTGATCTCTTGGGATATTGCATGTTCTTGCATTGAGATTACACAAACCTAGAGATGGGAAAAGTTATAGCTAGCAGCAGATTTTTGTATAAAGAATATTCAGGTGTTCTTGTCTTCTTTTGTTTAAAAATTTTCACCTTTGAACATGGTTAGAGAATATATCGGACTAATTCTCCAAATCTTGGGATCTTATCTTCGAGAGATCTTCTGCGCCTTTCTTACGCTTGTTCTTGTGAGCTTCTTTGTTTTCAGCATGTTGAGATCTGAACCTCACAAACAAGAAAGTAGCTAATTTTAGTGTTTGTAAAGGACTCTCTCTCACTCTCTGCTTTTCTTAAAACTCTCGTGTGAAATTTGCAAACTTGAAAGATAAAAACTGAAAAATTAAGTGCACGCAAGATTTAACGAGTTCGGATCCTTGGGAGGAATCCTACGTCTCGCCGGAGAAGGTCTCCGGAAAATCCACTAAGAAACTTATCTCAAACCGAGCTCTTAATCACTGTTACACTTCTCTCACTTGTTCTTTCTCTCACACTACATCATACACCACAACTACAACTGGTTTATATAGACCAGACAAGATTGAAACCAGAACTAGGGTAAGAGAGAACTTAACCCGAGTTAATCCCATTCGATTGGCCTGGTCTTCAAGCTTGGCACAGATACGGAGGAAGACGACGAGAATCGCAGGCCTGCTTTTGCTTTGTCTCCTACAGATCGAACCAGCTCAACAGTGTACGAACCTGAAGCTTGTCTAGTGAAGCGTAAACAGCGGAAGAGTCGAGACGCTTCAATCTTCTTCTTTATTCTTATCTTTGAAACCCTCTAACTCAGACTGCAACTTCTGTATTTTCCAATTGCTTGAAACCCTCTTTGTCAAAACCAGTCTTTTACTTCTGCTTTGACCCGATATCAATTCTCTGAGGAAAAAACAGAACCTGGGATTCAAACTAATCCCCACAAAACTCCACCTTGGTTTGAATACCACCCCAACTTGATTCTTCTTCTTAGTATACTTGGATTTTCCCTTCTCCGGATTCTTCACTACTTTCTTTAGTGACTTGATATTCTGAGCAACTCCAATGCATTTTGAAGCTTGCTCACTGGGACAGTCTTTGTAAAAATGTCAGCAGGATTCCACGATGTAGACACCTTCACAACCTTTACTTCTCCTTCTGCAATCTTGTCCCTAATAAAATGCAGTCGCACATCTATGTGCTTCGTTCTCTCGTGATGCACAGAGTTCTTAGACAGAGAGATAGCACTCTGTGAATCACACAACACTTCAACATAGTCTTGCTTGAATCCTAACTCTTCTGCAAGACCTTTCAGCCAGACTCCTTCTTTTATGGCCTCAGTCAGAGCCATATATTCTGCCTCAGTGGTAGATAAAGCCACTACCTTATGTAGGTTTGATTTCCAACTAATAACATTTCCACCCGCAGTAAAAACGTATCCAGTCACTGACCTTCTCTTGTCTAGGTCAGCTGCGTAGTCAGAGTCACAAAATCCCTTGATCTCTGAATCTTCTTGCTTCTTGTAGACCAACTTGAGATCTTGTGTTCCTTTAATGTATCTTAGGACCCACTTTACTGCTTGCCAGTGCTCTTTTATAGGCTTGCTCATGTATCTGCTCACAACACATAAAGGATAAGCAAGATCAGGCCTTGTTCCTATCATGGAATACATGATACTACCCATAGCGTTCGAGTATGGAATAGACTTCATGTATTCCTCTTGAGAAGCTAGTTCCCTGTCTGATGCAGCTCTGAGCTTAAACTGAATCCCTAAAGGAGTTGATACTGCTTTTGACTGATCCATTCTGAAAGTTTGAAGAACTTTCTGCAAATACTCTTCTTGTGACACTTCAAGTGTCCCATTTACTCTGTCTCTCTTGATTTCCATCCCCAGAATCTTTCTTGCTTCTAGTAAATCTTTCATCTCGAACTCTGCACTCACCAACCTCTTAAGATCTGCAATCTTCTCTTTATTCTTAGCAGCAATGAGCATGTCATTTACATATAGAAGCAAGTATATGTATGTATTATCCTCAAGCTTCTGATAGTAGATACAGTGATCATAGCTGCTTCTAAGATATCCTGAGCTCTTCATGAAGGTATCAAATCTCTGATTCCATTGCCTTGGAGCTTGTTTCAGCCCATATAGAGATTTCCTTAGAAGACATACCTCATCTGTTTCAGACTTGATTCTGTAACCTTTTGGTTGCTCCATCAATATGTGTTCATCTAGATTTCCATGCAAGAACGCCGTCTTGACATCCATTTGTTCCAATTCAAGGTTGAGTTGAACCACATATGACAATATGAGCCGAATGGAGACATGCTTCACAACCGGAGAGAAGATTTCTTGGTAATCTATCCCTTCCTTCTGAAGAAAACCTTTAGCAACGAGCCTGGCTTTAAATCTCGGCTGATCAGTCCCTGGTACACTGGATTTTCGTTTGTATACCCATTTGCAGCCAATCACCTTGCCTTTCTCTGGTCTCTCGGTTAGTGTCCATGTCTGATTCTTGAGTAATGAATGCATTTCTTCATTCATTGCCTCCTTCCAGGACATCCAATCTTTATCTCTGATAGCTTCATCATAGCAGCATGGCTCTGGATATCCACCATCTTCTGTCATCATCAGTGCAAACCCAACCAGTTTTTCATCATCTTCATCTCCTTCCACTAGATTAGAATCTCTGAACTTTGCTGGTGGCTTGGTGGGTCTTCGCACTCTATCTCTTGCCAACTGATAATTTTCAAGTTCATTGTTGACTTGAACTTCTTCACTATCCAGGTCTTTTTCTAGTTCTTCATCCTCATTGAGGAGTTGCTCAGCTTGATCTGTCTCTGTTCCTTCATCAGCTCCACCTAAGTCATTGAAATCACCATGATTAATTTCATAGATAAGTGGTACCTGAGTTCTTTGCTGTTCAGTTTCTGATTCTGGACTCTGGTTTAGATGCTTGTACATCTTGTCTTCTTGAAAGATTGCGTCCCTGGTGACAACACACTTCTTTTCATCAACCAACCAGAATTTGTATCCTTTTACACTAGGAGGATAGCCTACAAACACCACTTTCTTAGCCCTTGGATTAAGCTTCCCTTGATCATTGTGAATGTAAGCTACTGAGCCGAATACTCTTAACTCCTCATATCTTGGTCTTGTTCCTGTCCAAATTTCTTCTGGCACTTCAAACTCGATAGCGGATGAAGGTGATCTGTTTATCTGATAAACTGCGGTTGATGCAGCTTCTGCCCAGAAAACTTTTGGTAGACCTGATTCACTGAGAACACTTCGAACTTTTTCTAGAATGGTTCTATTCATTCTTTCTGCGACTCCATTCTGTTGGTGTGTGTAAGCACATGTTTTATGCCTTACAATCCCTTCTCCCTTACAGAAATCATCAAACTCTTTGTTGCAGAACTCTAAACCGTTATCTGTTCTGAGTATCTTGATCTTCTTGTTTAACTGATTTTCAGCCATCTTCTTCCA